TAGTAATACTAATAAATCCTTCTCAACTCCTAAACATATGCTTACATTAACCGACTCTAATCACAGATTCACACGTAACCTAAAATATGTTTTGGAGGTCTAGAGTTTGGACACGGTGACGGCTTACCCGAGTTAAAATTTGGGAGAATTGGAAAAATGGGACACTTTGAACTTGTGTTTGTCAGAATAGGATTTTTCATACTTTTGACCATTTATGGACATGTTTTACCTTTCTTTAATGGAAAAATAGTAAATTGAATTTTAAAAAAGTAAAAAAATATGAAACCTGTTGTAAACTTAAGTATGACAATATATATGTTTAAATTAAAAAAAAAAAATTGGTATCATATTTTATTTAATCTTCTAGCCATAGTTAGAATACTTATTCTGGTAATCTACTTAGGTTATAAATCAGATTCTAAGTGATATGAGTATATATATCAAAGATATATACCGTAATCTAACAGATCTTGTATATTCTGACGAAGATATATACCGTAATATAACCTTTCTTGTATATTCTGACAAAGATAGAATTAGTTACGTTGTAATCTAGAAAGATGTCTTCCTTCTACCTATAGCTTGAAAACGATATATAACCACAACTCAATGATATAATTCGGCTACATTACGTGCCAAAACAGATTCTGCCTTTTACCTTATATGTCGCCTGTAGGAAGAATATGTTTCATACCGTCTATACTGTGTTCTGTGTTAGCAGTATACATATTCTAGGCAAATTCCGGAAAATATGGAAACTTCCATATTCGGTTAAAGAAGTTTCCTAAATCTAAACTAAATCTACCCTAAATCTAGGAAAGAATATTTTCTCCAAATTTCACGTTCTTCTCCTCCTCCCCACAATTCTTTTCTGTTTTTTTTTGTGTTTCTCTCTTCTTCATCCACACAATCATCTCTTCTCTCTATCAATACATCATGGTTCTAATCTATGTTAAATCTGGTGAATGGGTGTCTAGTTGCAGTGAAGAGTGGAGTTTCGTAGTAGACAAAGCAAGGCGTGGTCGAATGATAACATTAGAAACTACTACTCCTTTGGAGAAGGTCAATAGGATCGTGTGTGAGGATTATGGGGTGGATCATACTGTTGTGAATGCTGAGTTCAGTTATTCGATGGTGAATCAAAGAGGGAATCCTCCAATTATTATCACCAATGATCGACAATCATCTAATTTTGTGGCGTATGCAAAGAAGGATTCATCTACTACTTTGTGTGTCACGTTCTCTGGTTATGGTGTTCACCATCAAAAAGAACAAGTCAATATTGATTTGAATAAGGAGCCGTGTGATTCAAGTAATGTTGAGGATGAAGAAGTTCATGAGAAAAATAGAGCAGAGTTTGTGAAGCTGTCAAAGGATAGAAAGAAGGATCATTTCGATGCGGCAGGTTGCACTAATGATGGTTTAAGGAGTGAAAACATTGGAGATTCTCGAAATAATGGAGATAGTGAAAAGGATGGTCGATCTTGGAGAGGAGATTTCGTGAAGAAAAATCAAATTTTCAGAAGTAAAGAGGTTCCGAAGGCAACAATGGAGGTTTTGGCTATGCAGAATCATTTCGATTACACTGTTCTGAAATCCACGAGAAAATGGTGGTATTGCCGATGTAAGGATGCATTATGCAACTGGACTGTGCGTGCAGAAGGTCTAGACGGGTCTACATATTTCATGATCAATCAGTGTGAGGAAAAACATACATGTGCTCCTTCAAAGAAAAGCAAATTCGGAAAAACAGCATCGGCAAGATGGGAGTCTAATACAACATCGATATGGTGATGCCAACGATGGCCCAAAAGCAAATGACATCATTCAATTCATGAGATTGGAGCACAGTTGTGAGATTAATTATTGGCACGCTTGGGAAGCTCGTGAGTTTGCTATAGCAGCTGCTAGAGGTATACCAGATCGCAGTTACGCTAAAATACCATCGTATTTGCACATGCTTAAAGAAGCTAATCCTGGGACGCATACTCACTATGAACTTAATGAGAAGGGGAGATTCATGTATATATTTATGTCCTTTGGCCAATCAGTTAGAGGATTCTACAATGCAATGCGAAGGGTGATTGTTGTTGATGGAACTTTTCTGAAAAATAAATACAGAGGAGTTCTACTTGTTGCTACTGCTGTAGATGGTAACTCTAATTTGTATCCGCTTGCATTTGGAGTTGTTGATTCAGAGAATGACGATTCATGGGGTTGGTTCTTCACACAGTTGAAAGTGGTTATTGCTGATTGTCAAGACTTAGCTTTTGTCTCAGATAGAAATGCGTCTATTTCTAAACCGATTGGGACTGTCCACCCTCGATCAACACATGGAAATTGCATTCATCACTTGTTGACAAATGTGGTTGCATTTTTCAAGACAAAAGGGTTCACTGCCTTGGTTGAAAAGGCTTCACGGGCATATAGGTACACTGAATTTGAGGAACGTATCACTGAAATTTTTGATATGAGTCCTGATCTTGGAAGATATCTACGAGAGGCTGATGTGCGCAAATGGGCTCGTTCTCTCTTCCCTGGTAAAAGGTATGACATTAGGACCACAAACCCTGCAGAGTCGATAAATTCAGTTCTGAGAATACCTAGAGAATATCCGGTTATTCCTTTGCTAGAGAGTATAAGAGAACTGTTGACTCGATGGTTCTATGAGCGTCGGTTGGTAAGCTCTAAGCATCTTGATCCTTTAACCACTAAGGTGGAGAAAAAGATTGATAGGAGAATTGTGAAAGCAAAAGGGTTTCAAGTTCACAAGGTTGGCGACTTCAAATCACTTGTGAAAGGAGACATATATGATTGTTTTGTTGATTTGCAAAGAAGAACATGCACATGTGGGAAGTATGATATAAGAAAAATTCCTTGCCGACACGCCATTCCTGCAATTTATTCACGAGGTATGGAAGTATAAACACTTGCACTTGGGACTTATTCATTTTTGGTAAATAAGCATAGTGACTCCAATCAATCACATTTTTTTTTACGCAGGCCTTGAAGTGCACAGATTTACTGATGTTTTATACACCACTGCAGCGTGGAGAATCGCCTATGAGGAATGCATTAATCCAATAGCAGTTCCAGAGTCTGAATGGAATGTCCCCACTGAGGTTAAACTTGCTAAGGTTTTACCACCAGAGACAAGAAAGAGTGCTGGTCGGCCAATAAAGAGAAGATATGAATCAGTAGAAGACAAGATAAAATCTTCTCAGGGATCAACAAAGAATAAAAAACACAAGTGTAGTCGTTGTGGTACCCAAGGACACAAGAGAGGAACATGCGATTTACCCATCTAGTTTGTTTTGTGTGTTATTTTGTTTTTGTTTTGTTTCTTGTTGATCTTGAATCATAGTGATCTTTTGTTTCTGTTTTGTTTCTTGCTAAACTCTTGAGACTAATCGATCAATGTTTGTGACAATTTGGTATCTGAAATAATCATCAAGAAATAATAAGAAACATAGTCTTAAACTTGTTTGAAAAATAAAGTACAATTTGAGGCAACGCATGAACATCAGACAATGTACATGAACACCATTACCAAACAGCAAACAAACAAAGCTTTTATGATCTTTAATTCTCTAATGCATTCTGTGATCTTCTCTTCACAATGAGCGATTGCATCTTCCGTCTCTTTAATTCTACTCTCATGGCCTTTCATCATGGCCTCGCCACCTCCCACTGATTTCTGAATCTCAATATTGTCAACAAGCAGCACGTCAAACAAGTCCTGGAAGTNCGCCACCTCCCACTGATTTCTGAATCTCAATATTGTCAACAAGCAGCACGTCAAACAAGTCCTGGAAGTCTTCAATTTCCTCAAGAACCGACTTATCAGTCCATTTGAACAAGTGGGTTTTGTCCTTCATCATTAACATCCAATAAACAGTTAGATTGAAACAAAGCAAACTTACATGGTTATAAGACTAACCTTCTCAGATCCCATCGGACAACAATGAAATAATCTTCCTGGATTTTTAACTGTTTTTGAAGTGAAACGAGACACTGCCTGACCGCAATTGCATCTCGTGGGAATTCCGCGTTGTTTGGCGAGTCGATCTGTTGGAGTTGATGAAGAATTGACCGAAGACATTCTTAAGTCGATCTCCAAATTTTCGCCTCTGTAAATCTCTCTGTCGAGAAAGAATGAGGAAGAAAAGGGTGTAGGTCAAAATAATTAGTAAAACGACGTCGTTTAATATGTATATAACGTGTATTCTACCAAAGGGAGATCGGACAAAAATCACTAAAATGGACGGCTTCAACCTATTACAAACGTGTGTACTTTGCAGAATTATGATCTAAATTGTTTTTGAATCCTCTAAATTTGTTTCAAAACATGGAGCAAAGAAAGTAGTCTGAGAAGTATGATCATATATTACACTACACTTAGCAGAATTATGATCATATATTAGAGGATCTAAAAATCCTTCAAAAACATAGATATAATTGTTTAGGGTTTGTTTAGGCTTTAGGGTATGTTTAGGGTTTAGGGTTTAGGGTTTGTTAGGGTGTAGGGTTTTATGAATTATGATGATATATAACATTATACTTTGCAGAAAATCGAATTAGAGGAACTAAAAATCCTTCAAAAACATATATATAATTATTTAGGGTTTGTTTAGGGTTTAGGGTATGTTTGGGGTTTGTTTAGGGTTTAGGGTTTTATGAATTATGATGATATATTACACTATACTTTGCAGAAAATCGAATTTGAGGAACTAAAAATCCTTCAAAAACATATATATAATTATTTAAGGTTTGTTTAGGGTTTAAGGTTTTATGAATTATGATCATATATTACACTATACTTTGCGGAAAATCTAAAGCTAGAGTTGCCACAATTTCCATCCAAACATAAGCTAGAGTTGCCACATTATTCCTAAAAAATCCAAAGCTAGAGTTGCCACATAATTCCTAAAAAATCCAAAGCTAGAGTTACACATACTTAGACACATTCAATCTAGAGTTTTCCACATACTTAGACACATTCAATCTTCGAGTTCAAAGGACTCTTCTCTCTCCCATGGTGAAGGTACATATCGTGTCATTGCCTCAGCGTAAATGGGATCGTGTGTAGCCTCCCATAAATCCACACCAATCTTCTGTCTGCAACCCATGATTATTTCATCATCAACTAAACTTAGGTCGATACCAAACAGAAGGCATTCCAAGTGCTTGAGTGCGTATGCACCGCAATCACAACAAGACTTGTTCAATCTCGTCTTCATAGGAACATCCACGATAGAATAAGATTTGAGGAGTAGCTGCTTCTGTCTTTCAGGTGGTCCAACGGCCTTCACTATCCTAGGAATCAGAGCAGCAAACTTCTCAACATGTTGTCTATTTCTTGCCCGACCACTATCCAACACTTCCACCTTTTTTCAATAATGTTGACATGAAAACCAACCCAGTGATTACCTGCAATGGACAATAATTACCATGGACAATAGTAGCACTCATGAAAACTTAGACGTATAGAGGAGAGAATGATTACCATTTACAAACAAAGGAAAGTAGAGACGATCAATATCCACACCCCAAACTAAATTAGTCTGCCCATGAGATGGAAGTTCTCCTCTGCCGTACCCAAGAAGAAACTCAGGCAATTCATAGGCCTTTTTGTCACGAATAAACTTGTTGTATGCAGCATCGATTTGGAGGCAGAACATAGCACTCATGAAAGCAACACGGCTCGGGCCCCAACGCTTCAAAGTTGTGTTAACTCGCCATATAAACATAAATGCATCCATTTCCTGAATATTCACAATGAAATTAAACTAATGTAGCAACCAAGATGTTTTACAAAAGATTAATTCAACAAATTAGTACAATTAAACATTACCTCGTTGCCAAGCCATTTTCCTGGAGTTACTATCATTTTAGCTATAGTCAAATTTAAGATTGACGGACCAAGTGGTAAAGGTTTTGGTTTCTTAACCCATTCCGTGAATCCTATCCATGATTCTTCAGAGCAATAATATAGTGACGACTGCGGAGAACCATCTGTGCGCAATGGTGAATCAGTAAGCTGAAGTCCTTTTCCTTTATTCCATTTCTGCCACTGTGACGGCAGTGGAGCTTCTGAATCTCTGACTGAAGTCCTTGGAGTCCACCACTCGTCTCTCTTATTGGTCTGAGATGGATCAAAGCCGGGCACATACGAGGTCTGAGAAAGCCCTTCAACGCCTTGCGTATCTATGAACTCTGGGATATCATCTTCTTCACTAAAATTCACATCAAAGGAACTCTTGGATGCTTCCTGTTATGTCAAGATAAATAATCAATTAAAACATAATATTAAGCACAAACAAGTCCATTACATGAAAATTTAAGCACAAACATTGTACATAAGTTTCAAACAACACGCTTACAAACCAAGGACACTAACACACCAAGCACACTTACAAAACAAGCACACTTACAAACCAAGCACACTTACAAAACAGACCGATATCATAGATGATAGTAAGACAAACAGACACGCAAACCACATAATAAACAAGAGAAAATAACATTTAAGAGAGTGGTGAAGACAAGTGCTTTTTTACCCCGCGTGTGGACCTCCTCAACGGTGGTTGGCTCGTCGAAGGTTTGGTAGGTGAAGGTTTCTTCAGTGAAGGCTTCTTCGGTGGAGACTGCTTCGGTGAAGGCTCCTTCCGTGAATCTTCAATCTCTGTCTCAACTTCAGCGCTAGGTTCCTTCCGGGAATCTTCAATCTCTGTCTTCATTTTCTCAAATGTCTCAGCCATCTGTTTTTGAAGTCTCTGTTCCATTCCAGAGAAACCTTGCTCAAACAACTGTGTCACAAAAGCCTTCATGTCTTCATTAAAAGGTGCTTGCTTTGGTCCACTAGAGAGAACCTTGTGCTTCCTTTTCTCCATACCACGATCTGGAAGCCTCTTCTTACCCCTGCTTGATGTAGCACCTAGGTTCTTTGATCCTTTTGGAGTATGATAATCTTCATCACTCTCAGCGGCTTCATCATGGACAGCTGAGTCATCATTCACAGCCGATTCATCCTCTGGTGTTTCTTCAATACCCCAAACATGGTCACTAAAATCATGTTTTGTTCTTATCAACTCCATCAGATTATCGATTCTGTCATCCTCCACATCATCAGCTCGTCTAAATACATGAGCTTGGACTATATCATAATTTCCCCTCCAGTCGATATATGGATATATGGCATCCTACACAAGAAATTTACAGAAACTTAGATCTTAAAAAACTCATACAAAACTAGCTTGACTCAACTTACATAAAGATTAGAGATTACCTCGGGTGTCAGGATTTGCTCCAACTTATTGATCTCATCGTATGACACCTTTGCAGCTCCCATCCAGTTTATGCATCTAGGACCGTTTGTGAAACTTTTGTTAAGTTTTTTTCCACAAATCTTCCCAATCTTTGGTACAGCTTCCAATGCCCAAATCTGCAAGGCGTAAGAGAAACCATCCAAGACATAACTAGTAGTCTTATCCTTCAGCTTGTCACGATTTTTGGCTATTGAGTTGCAGAGAAGATCATAGGCCGCTACTCCCCAAGTATACTTGCCAACCTTCTCAAGATCCATGACCACCTTGATGTATTTGAGGGGGATATTAGCCTTCTCGTCTCTCGCTAAAACCACACAAAGAATGATGGCGAGATAGATCAGTCGTATGCGATCTGCATTCTTCCACTTCTTAACAGCTTCCTTGTCCTTATTCCACAGGTTGAAGAGTGTAAGTGATCCATCTCTTCTCCTCAACACATTGCTCCAGAAACCACCATCATATTTCCAGTCTTCGAACTCCTTAAGAGAGATATGAGTATTGCACTCAAACCCGGTTACTGCATGAAACTCTTGTAATGAAAATCGAAGTGGCCTCCTCGCAAAGATGAACCAAAGCTCGTGCATTTTGTAAGTCACCAGCTCCCTACACAAGAAGCTGTGTACAACTCTCGCCGAGAACCCAAGACCATTGTCATGCAGCTTAAAAATCTGAGAAAAGACTGGATCTTTTTTCACAGCTTCCAACTCCTTTGGCAGCCACTCACTGAACTTTCGGATAATGTAGTCAATCCTGCAGCTGTTGTTGATTTGAGTCACTTGGGGCTCCTCGCCCTCCTTAAAAATCCTCTTTGGTAACTCCAGCGACATATCTAAAATCCAAGTTCAAAACTTGTTAGTTCAACATGTTAATGAGAGCAAGAGAAATCGATTTAAAACAAATTCTGTGTAATCCAAGTTCAAATCGAACTTAAAAAATCTGTGTAAAAGGGATAGAGTACTAGATGATCATAATTCAAGTTCAAATCGATTTTAATCCATGTTCAAATCGATTTTTAAGAAAAAATATGTGTAAAAGGGAAGAACAAGTAGATTGAGTTCAAATCGATTTTACAAAAATCTGTGTAAAAGGGATAGTGTATTACATGCTCAAAATTATAGCTCAAATCGATTTTAATCCAAGTTCAAATCGATTTTTAAAAAAAAAATGTGTAAAAGGGAAGAACAATTTGATTAAGTTTTAGATGAGAATAAAAAGAAGAAGTGAATACCTTCAGTGAGATCGAAGAGGAGGAAGACGAAGACGAAGAGGAGGGTGACGAAGAAGACAAAGAGGAGGGTGACGAAGACGAGATTTCGTTGTACCTTCAGTGAGATCGAAGAGGAGGATGACGAAGACAAGATTCGAGACTACATGAAGATGAAACTCCGAGAAAGATTTAGCTTCTCTGAGTTGAAGCCTAAATCGCCATGGAAGTCCCTTTGTTCTACGGCGGAGAAGAGAAGGAGGTTAATAAATTAGGGTTCGGAAACCCCTTTTGCCTCTTTCTCATTTTTAACTGTTTTTTTTGCAATTTTTTAAGTTTTGTTAATTTTATTTAACTTTTAAATCAATTACGAAAATTATAATATATAATTTTAATTCAACTTACTTGATAAATTAGGGGTAGTTTGGTATTAACAAGAATGAAAATCCTATTTTCCAAAAATATGTGTCACAAATCCTATTGTGACAAATCCAAGTTCAAAGTGTCCTTTTTTTTCCAATTTTCTCTTAAAATTTCAGTTTAAAACTTTCCAGTAATAGACTAACACTTAAATTAATCAGTATTTACATTGTAATTAATTCGACGAGTTACCCAAGTTAAAAAGAAAGGTCAGTACTGACTAAATTATGGCAGGAAGCGACCTTCGATTGTGCTCCATCATTAAAAATATGAGAAGATATTATGGTTTTAAAACCCACTCATACAACTGAGTTGTTAACTTTCATACATAACCTAATAAATTTATCTATGTATATGTTACATGGAAACAGAAGCGGGTGCGCAGCGAAATCGTATGGAAACATAGAATCGAAATTTATAAAAAAATTAAGAAGTGGATACGTGTTGGAAGCGTATATCTAAATATACACATGTATATATATATATATATATATATTTATAAGAAAATTTTATAAAATCTATAACTAAGAATTATATGATTCTAATTTAAAATAAAGCATTTATTCATTTATTATAATTTTAAATAACTGCATATTATAATTGTGAAAATACAGATAAATTAAGTTTATAAACATATATTACCAATTAGTTATTTTTTACATTTTATATATAATTATCACACCATATTTGAATATATTTATATATATGATATATCTCTAATATATATGATATATCTCTAATAAAAATAGTGCATACATATGATTTATAGTATTAATATTAGTATTTACGTATATATATATATATATATATTCTCACTATATATACTATTATATATTGTAAAAACATAAAACTGATTTTATATTTTATTTATTTATATATGATATTGTATTTTTAAAATTGGAAGTGTTATTCCAAAATGGAATCGTAAGTTTCCAATGTGTTTTTTATAAGATATTTTAGAAGTGTTTTAGAATTGAGGTTCCGCAAGATTCCACAAGGTTCCGATTCCGATTACGGTTCCGAAGCGGGAATCGCATGTCCGATGAAGCTTTTGTGTAACGTAGGTGCATATAGGGCGTAAACGACGTCTAATTATTTACTAACTGTGTAACGAGAAATACTTAGGTTTACCCCATGGGGTGAACTTGTAGGTTCACCAATCAATATGATTTTATTATTTCATATTCATTATCTTTTAAAAAAGGAAACAAAATATTATCGAATTATATTACGTTTTTAAAATAAGAAGGTAAAAAAATAAAAAATAATAGTAGTTGTAAAAAAATTAAATTTTTTTTAGTACCGTCAGCAAAACACTACACCCTAAACCCTAAATCCTAAACCCTAAACCTTTGGGTAAACTCTAAACCCTTGAATTAATCTTAAATTATTTAAGATTAATCCAAAGGTTTAGAGTTTATCCAAGGGTTTAGAATTTACCTAAGGGTTTGAGATTTAGGGTTTAGGGTTTAGTGTTTTGCTTACTGTATTAAAAATATTTGTTTTTTAAAGTTAAGGATTTATCCAAAGGTTTAGGGTTTACAGAAGGGTTTAGCAAAACATTAAATCCTAAGCCCTAAATTCTTGGGTAAGTCCTCAACTCTTGGATTAATCTTAAATTCTGGGATTTATGATTAATCCAAGGGTTTAGAGTTTACCCAAGTGTTTAGTGTTTAGGATTTTGTATTTTACTGTTGTATTAAAAATTTATTTTTTAAAGTCAAGGATTTATCCAAGGGTTTAAGATTTACAGAAAGGTTTTAAGGTTTAAGATTTATGGTTTAGGGTTTGATAACAATATTTAAAAAAAAAGTAATTTTCTTTTTTGCAACTATTGTTATTTTTATCTTTAAATTTTAAAAATATAATATAACTAAAGAACATTTTGTTTCTTTTTTTTTAAATATACTGAATATAAATTAACGTAATTCTATTGATTTGTAAACTTAGAGGTGACCTAAGGGGCTATTAGCTATTGGTTTATTATGTAAATCTGGTATGATATAAACCAGTGTAGATAGCTTTGGTTTAGTTCTGGTTTACTCTATTTTATGCTTGTATATAAGCTCACATGTAACTAACTTTTACCATTAATGTGAATGAGATATTTTGGTAATATGGTATCAGAGCAAGTATCTCGTTCTCTCTAACAACCTTCCGCTTCGAATTAACGTCTCTAATCATCACTCACCGGCACTTCTTCACCGGAATCTCACACCGGCGACGATCTCGGTTCCTCCCTCATCCACCTCCTCTCCGTCGACGTTTCATTCTCGTTGTTTTCGCCTTCAAATGAGCTCAAATCTCACGATTCTTCATCGTTCCGAGCCGATCTCCATGGGAAAACGCAAGTGCAAGTCGACGTATCGCCGCTCCACACCAGATTCACCGGAATCTGGTTCTCCGTCTTCTCCAAGACCTCCCGATCGGGCTTCCGCTCCTCCGATCATTTCCACTACTCAGACTCGAGCTGAGTTCAACAGATCTGCTTCGGCGACTTCCGATCGTCCGTTTGAGGTATCGATTTCTCCTGAGAACATTCACTCTCCGTATCATCTACATAGTTCGGATCATCCTGGCCTAGTGTTAGCTTCTGAATTGTTAGATGGTAACAACTATGGAGTTTGGATTATGGCGATGACTACTAGCTTAGAAGCTAAGAATAAGCTAGGTTTTCTCGACGGATCTATTGTGAAACCACCTGAGACTGATCCCTATTATCGAATCTGGTGCCGTTGCAATAGTATGGTGAAATCTTGGTTGTTGAACAGTGTGACGAAACCGATCTATACGAGTATTCTGTACTTCAAGAATGCTTCTGACATCTGGAAGGATCTTCACACTCGTTTCCACAAATCCAATCTCCCTCGTCTCTACAAGCTTCGTCATCAGATTCATTCCTTTCGACAAGGCAGTCTTGATCTCTCCTCGTATCACACCAAGACTCAATCGTTGTGGGAAGAACTTTCTAGCATCCAACCTCCTTCTCGCTCTGTTGAGGATCTTTTAGCTGAAAAAGAGACAAATCGAGTCATTGATTTCCTTATGGGACTCAATGACAACTATGAGCATATCCGTAGCCGCATCTTAATGAAGAAAGTTCTTCCAACCATGTCTGAGGTGTTCAATCTGCTGGATCAGGAAG